TTTAAAATCCATGAAAACATTTTATTAAAGATTTCACACTCCAGCCTACACGTTGCCTGGCGAATAAACACAATGTGATAAAAGGCAAGAAAACAAATTGTCAGTGAACACGGCGTGATATATAAAAAAAATCTGTGTTGAATTAAGAATCATTTACCATGAAATTGTTGTACCGTTTAATTTAACACAAGAATAAGCATTGTTCGGGCCTTTCTTTGCAAATTAGGTTCTAAGATAATTAGAAATCTCACTGCGACGCCATCTTACTTCTTTTAGATGACATTTAAATTCGGTTCGCATTATGTATTTCCTTTCTTACTTTTTAATTAAAGGCCTTTGAAACCGAAAGTAAAATTGCAATTTTTATTTAATATTGCTTACAAGCCAATTTTTCTTGACAGTGATATTTTTGTGATGTGAACCAAGAGGAAGTAAGGTGCTCTTCGTCATCACTGAAATTCCCCCTGTTTTGAATAAAATTCAAGATGAGCATTTAAATTATTCTTCACTAAATGCAATTAAAACAAAAGACATCTTTCATTATATTCCAAAAAGACGCGTAACAAAATAAAGAATCTTATTTTTAGATTTAATATAGGGATTTATATTTTCTAATCAAAGACTGTGGTTTAATTAATATTTTAATTATTTATTGTTAAATTTAATTTGTCTCACAACTAAGAAATTTCTTCAAGCGGTTTTCAGAAAATATCATCAAAAATCTGTATTAATACGTCTTCTTCGAAATTAAAATTACAATTTGTGTTTGATATGTTTTGAAATTAAACAAACTTTAATTAAAATATTTGATTTTAAGCCTCAACATTCTTGTTATTCATTTAAATTTAATCAAATTTTTGATTTCATTTCTTTGCAATATTATCTGATCTTTATATTTGACCAAATAATTAGTCACATTATTAGTATCTTGATGATTTAATTATCACTTCTTCAAACATTTTCATTTGAGACTCATATTTCGATTTTATAATTGCAAATGCAATATTCCTTGCTTAAGCTTTGTTTGTATAATGAAGATATTAAAAAAATCTCAAATAATTAAAATGTAGACAATAAGAAGTCTTCAAAAGTTTGATACACTTTTTCAATCAATTTTAACTTCAAGGTGTTTACCTTCTTCTCTGTTTTAACATCGATTTTCTGTTTTTTCGATTATATATCACTTAAATATACTCAAGTTATTATATCACTTAAATCTTATCACCTAAATGTATCACTTTAGTATCACTCAGTCACGAATAGCTAACTCGCCGATAAGTTATGAAGCAGTATTTGCGTGTCGTATGGAAGAGAACCAGGAAAATTCCACCAGTCTATCTAAATATCAATACGAGATTCTTCTACACACATATTCACAATCACCATCGAATCTGCTCCTTTCTGAAAGCAGTGATTACAACAACGCCATCAGCAGATTCAAACCTCAGACCTTCTACATGTTAGTTGCGCACGTTGCCGATAGGCTATGAGTTAGGAATCATCAACGTCTAAATATGCTTAAACTATTAGAAAAGAGAGAGTGCATTCTATTTTTATTTATATACAGCGTAGCATTTTTCCCAAGGGAAGAGTTGTAACATTCCGTTCCCAGAAGAGATGAATATATATTCTTTAAAAAATACTAATGAGAACAACCTGTCACTCAAATCTGATAGCAAATATTTAGTTTTATGGGTAATGAGATCTCATAAAGTTAGCGATTGTTGGTGTGACTTATACAATTCAAAACAATTACAGATGGAATATAGACTACACTATGGGTTGTTGCATCGTGATTGGTGATGGACTGAGAAAGTGTCTACTCCAATAAGAAGTGAGGGAAGCGAACACTCCCTCTTCATTATCTTAAACAGGGGTTTTTAGAGAAGGAGAAAGAGAGCAGTTCTGCGACGAGAAGTGTTGTTTTTCTTCTTTTTTTTTTAAAGTAATTGAACACGCCGGAGTTTCCGCCTGCTTACAAAGTGATCCCCTTGTGGTTTCGTGTATCATGCTGTGTGAAAATTAAGGTCTGAAACAGTCCTGATGAAATAGATTCGACGTAAACTTCAGAACTCTGAAACTCTCCGTTCTTGGGGGGTGGAGGGGAAGTGCACTTGTGAATTAAATTTAATTCTTCATTTTTTGTAAATAATAAATTGTAATAAAGGGAGTTATGCATATATATATATATATAATGTATATGTATATATATTTTTATTTACAGACATTTTATATATATATATATTTATATATATATATATATATATATATATATATATATATATATATATATATATATATATATATATATATATATATATATATATATATATATATATATATATATATATATATATATATAATGTTTGTAAATAAAAATTGAAGTGTTCACATGAACCTTAAAGTTCTTGAAGCCGTTATAGGTCTAGTATAGACCGAAACGTTATAATATTATATATATATATAATTTCCAGCTCTTTTTTTAAGTGTTTACAAAAAAAACCGCTACATACAGACACAAAATATAGTTTTCAGTCAATTAAACTACAGTGTTTTTGTTGTGATGTCTATATTTCTGATTAAATGTAAAGTATCTATTTCCATTTGTAACTAAAATTTTTGTTTGTAATATTGTGCTATTTAAAAGTGCTATTTTTTTCTATAGTTAATGACTATCTATATTTTCTGTAGTTAATGATTTTTTTCTATAGTAATGAACTCAAAGTTAAAATAATAACCCATGTAAATGTAATTTTTATGAATCAATAATTTAACCTAAAATGAGCAGATATCAATAAAAACCTAAAGAAAATTTCCCACAAATTCCTACGGTTATGTTTTCTTAAAGACAAATTGATATAGACGTTATGAATTCAGAGACACTGCATCAGTTAATTCTTAAAAACTATTGATTTGATGCATTTTCAATCATTTTAAGTAATATATAATATTAATATTTTACGTAGTATTAATAAACCTTCTTGAAACTCATTATTGGAAAAGTTTTCGTCAAAGTATTCACTTGATTTCCTAGAAACTAATACACATGCATCTCTTTTTGATTTTCAAAAGTAAATATGTTTTCCAGTCTGAAGTATCGTTAAATTAGCTTCTAACACAGAGTGTTTTCATAAATTTTTGGAATAACTTTAACTTTTCTATGAATTAAATTTAAATAAATAAAAGAAAAATTTGAATGGCATTCATCCAGAAAAAAATTTAATTATCGTCTACATCAATAAAATTATTCTTTGCTTTAAATTGTTTATAAAAAAAATCATAATAAAAAACTGTTGTAAATCCATTATTTAGTTAAAAATTAATTAATATATTAAAGGATATATTTCCGTTGACGAAAAAAGATACTATTAATCGATTATTAAAAAAAAAGATGTGAAAAGAGTGGTTTTAATATTTCTAAAAGTAAAAAGGGGTGGCAGGATCAATAAAAAAAGGAAGAAAACGTAATTAAAAGCCAACAAAAAAGTTGATGTTCACTAGCTAACGCCAAAACATGTTTCATAGCTCAAAACTCTGTTCAGATTTCTTTACTAAAATAATTTGGCTAGTGAAAAATTGAAATACATAATTACAATTGATGAGCCTTAGATATATTTATCTGATTCTTCTTCTTCTTGAATGGTGCAGCAGCACCATGGTGATCCAAGGCTGTCTGTCTACTAATAGATTTCGAGTCAAGAGGTTTTTCTTTTAGTGGTTGGTTTGTCAGCCCAACACCCACCAATACTTTACAGTAATTTAAAATAGATTCCGAACCTCTACAAACATCCACGGCATAGAGCCAGAGTGATAGTCACTCGGCCACCAGGTACCCTGTACTTATCTGATTGCAATAGGGAAGAAAAACGTTTTACATTTCTCCTCTTAAGGAAGGGGCCTGAGGGCCGAGTGGGTAGCGCTGTGGTGCTCGGTACCACAGGTTTCGAATCCTGGTGATGGCAGATATATTTGTTAGTGGTTCGAAATCTACTTTAAACTGTAGGTCCCGATCTGTTTAATCCTCGTGTGCACAAGATGACCGTAGAGCGACAAACCAAACCAAACCTCTTAATAAAAGCAGCCTGATGGTCAATTGGCTAGCGTTCTGGCCGTTAGTACCACAGGCTTTAGTTTCGAATCTTGGTGGTGACATGGATGTTTGTTAGTGATTCGGATTCCAAGTTAAACTGTATGTCCCGGTTTGATCAGACTAAAAGTATGCATAAAATGACCGTAGAGTGACAAACCAAATCAAACCTCTTGAAAAAAGATTTAAAATATTAATTCAGAGAAAACAAAGGTAGTTTGTTAATTGTTTTATGATTATTACTGGATTTTCTTATAACGGAAAACTTAAACTAAGGAAAGCGGCATCTCAAAACATTCAGTGAAATCTAGAAGATTGTGGTGGAGAAGGGAAACAAAATCAACTTTAATATTTTTAAAAAGTTCTTTGTCTTGGAAATCAAGACATAACATGATAGTTCAATGAAAAAGTTGTCAAGCTGAACATATTAGAAAACAAACTCTTATCTTTGTTTATATATACATTTTTTTCAAAATCGTTGTAAAAATGTGTGAACAATTCCAATTAGTTTGTTGTATCCTCTGTATTTCATGAGGATACAACAAACTAATTTTATGTCCATTTAAACTTTACTAAGCATCAAATCAAACAAAGTAAAACATTTATCATTCCGACGTTAAAATATTAATGTAAAGTTGACATATTATTTAATGCTGAATTCTTTTTAATATTGTTTTTAATGTTATTGTCTGAATATTGTCTTTTATGCTGTTAACTGAATATTTTTTCGTTTGTTGTTGTTCTAATGCAGCTGGCAATACAGAGAAATTATGCCATAAGCAAGGGCTGCTCCGCTGTTACTCATTTAGCACTACCCGTGGGTCGCATGTAGCTTGAAGGAATATTGTTTTTTTTTTTTTTTCTGTTTAATGTTGTCTCTTTCATGTATTACTTATTTATATTGAAAAATGCCAACGGCCGTACCATGCTGAATATACCGGTTCTCGTTAGATCACCGAAGTTAAGCATCATTGGGCGCGGTCAGTACTTGGGTGGGTGACCACCTGGGAACACTGCGTGCAGTTGGCAAATTTGGGACCTGAATGGCCGAGTGTCTAGCGCTCTGGCGCTCGGTGCCACAGGTTTCGGGTTCGAGTCCCGGCGGTGCCATGGATGTTTGTAGTGGTTCGGAATCCACTTTAAGCTGTAGGTCCCAGTCTCCTATGACTGTAAGAGCGTCACGGAGCAAAAGTCAGGCTTCTACCTACGGGTGCTCCATCACAACAGAAGCTGCTTCCTTCCCCTTCAATCATGAGCACGTATGGGCTCGTGGGCTTGGCCAGCCAAGTGGGATAAGAAACAACAACAACAAATATTGAAAAATATAAATAAGTAATAAATGAAAGGAATAAGAATAAAATGTTTAAAATTATTTCTTTTGGTTAATATTAGTCAAATTATTTTTATATGGTCAATGTTCAAAATAGTCGTTAAAAAATAAATCATTTCTTTTCTCAGAAAATCACTTATATACTATTTAAGTCAATGGAGATAAAAATCAATGATTTTTATTTGTTTAATGTTATAAATGGGTGTTTACTCAGTTAATCAATTTACTTCCTTCATTAGCAAAACCCCATTTATCAGGTTTTCCATTAAATTTTCTATTTAGCATTATTCATCTATGAAAAATGTCAATTTTTATCCTTAAATGAGAGACGCATGACATTTTATGGACAACTAACAATCATGCAAGAAACTAGTTTAGTTTGGTATAATTCATCAAATGTAAAAATTGGGCCTCTCGTGAAATATTAATCATATCATCTCGTAAATTATTTATGAAGAATATGCAGTGGAAAGTTTTAAGAAAGGGTTTTCTCCTTTTAGATATAATAATTTGATAAATTATTTAATTATATTTTCTAAAAGTAAGTTTATACAGATTCATTTTAATTAAAACTCTTCTTTAATAATAATAATCAAAAGAGTTAGTTATAATTATTTTCTAAAAATAACGTTGTATCCCTATTTTTTTTAATATATCTTGATTAAATTCTGCAACATATTATATTTTAGCAATATCATCGATTTAGTAAGAATTTGCATTCAAAAAATAAATTTGGCGAAATCTGTAACGAAATTTCTAAACCTCACTTCTAAGTATTCATGTTTATTAATTTTGGCATGTTTGTGTAAAAGTCATTTGCCTCAAAATGTTTTCAGTCGATATTTGAATGAAATACATTGCGATTTTTTTTTTCTAATTTTTTTAGAAATTTTTTTTCTTCTTATAATTTTTTTATTATTTATTGAAGGACAGAGGAGAATTTAAAATTAAACTTTATTGTTTATTACTAAAATTCCACATATAAAGAAAATACTGAATATAATAATTCAAATTGTTTTGAATATACTGTGAATTCATGTTTATTAACTTTGCAACAATCTACAATTAGATAGTGATTATAATTAAATGTTTTAATTATTTTTAAATATGCGACTGTCAATAACAATTATAATATAAATTACAATTGAAACTTTTTTTACAATGCTTACAAAATGAAGCATAACTGCAGATAATCATTCAAAAAAGTAAACCATTACATTTCCCCAAGTGGTTAGAGAAATACTAAATACGGATATGGAATGTAGATTTTTAAAAACAGAAAGTATTTGTGTATAATAAACATCAATTAATCATTCATTAATCATAACAACAATTTTATTTACAAAACAAAGGAATATGACGAAACATCATCTTGAAGCTTGCTATTTCAAAATGAAACAGGTATTATTATGATACCATAATTTTTTTTTTCTTATCTTAAAAGAAAATTTTACAACATCTTGTTATAAGAGTTGCCATAAAACCTTACATGGCACCGTACAACGTGACCATAAAATAACTTTCCCTATTTTCAGACATCTGCAGTTAAAACCAAATTTTGTATAGTGACTATGGAAGACATGGTAATGAATTCCACAAAAACAAATTTAGTACCAAAAGTAACCGATAATAGAGATTTTTGATGCTCTCGGATCCGAAACGGGTCAATATTTACAATGAACTGATGAAAAATGGATTATGCAAAATTGTATTCCTGTCCTAATAATAAAAAATGCCAATATAGAAATGAGTACGGTACGAGATTTACAGAAAATAATGTTTTATTAACCAACATTAGGGTCTCTTGGACCACCACAACATTATCAGTGTGATGGCATTTCTTGTGTACAAGATATTGCATTCGGTGTACGACATTTTCTATTTCTTGGTATAAATTGTGACTTTGGATATCCTTATATTCTCTTTCAAGGAACACAGATTTTTAACATAAGCCAACTTGTAAGCCATCATAAGCCAACTTGCTTATGGTAACCTCATAGTCAAAAATCCAATGGAGTGATATCTATGAAACACAATTTGTTGGTACCCATTTGAAAGCCAAACGTAAATCTTTCCTATCAATGATTTTTAGCACTAATCTTTTTAGTAGAATTTAAGTCCTTCTGCCTTCCACTCTGTAAAAATCATTAATTTTAGCTTCAAATGCCTCTAAAGAGGAAAAGTTATTTTATGGCCACACTGTATTTTAAGAAGTTCAAAGAAAATTTTGATTTAAGAACTAATATTATTTAAAATCTAATTGAAAGGTTTTGATTTTTTTTTCTCCTTAATATTACGCTCGGCCTGATGGCCAATTGGCTAGCGCTCTGGCCTTTGTACCAGAGGCTTCAAGTGCGAATCCTGGCGATGGATGTTTGTGAGTGATTCGGGGCCCATGTTAAATTGTAAGTCCTGGTCTAATTAGCTTAAATTGTGCCAAAAATTGACAGTAGATCGACAAAGCAAACCTTAATATTACCATTGGTAACGTAATAAAAAAAGAGCATTACAGATCTGACCGTAGTTTTCCTGAATTCTTGATTTTAAAAAAAAATTTTACTACACACTAAACACTAAGCATTCTTTTAAAATACCATTGATATATTATTTCCACTATATATTATTTCCACTACATTGATATATTATTTCCACTTGATATATTATTTCCACTTGATATATTATTTCCACTACCATTTATATATTATTTACCACCACCACTATTTCTACACAACCTGCACAATCCACGGACGCCTACGCTTAAGAATTGGAATGCCAAATTCTTAAGTCGAAAATGATCATACATTCGATTGAGAAAATAGCTACTTTTGTATGAATTTAAAACGAAATCAAACAAGTGACAATATCACAAAACTTATTAAATGCATTCGCTGAACCAAAAGACTAAATACGAAGACAATTTGCTTTGAAAACATAGAGTATTTTTCTACTTCTCTGTACAAGCAATTCTAGTAGAATACGCACTCCTACTACTGTACTTGTAATTTAATACAATTCAAGAATTAGGGAAAATGCCCTTATAAAATATCATTCTTACACCATTATCTCGTTGTACCAAGTTCATTGCAAGAAACTACTGCTATAAAATAACATTTTTTTTTCAATATTTTGATGATTACGTATATACCACTACAGTGAATATATAATGTTCCGGAAATAGTGTTGTTCTTTATGCCATTTCGTAGAAAGCAACATCTAGACCAAGTCCAAAAACCCTTGTGGTCTCATGGAAAGAGGGAAAGGGGGGCAGCTTCTGTTGTGAAGGAGCACCCTTAGGTAAAAGTCTGACTTGGCTCCGTGACGCTGACTTTTTACGATGTAGAGTTGTCAGCCTTACATTCTACAGTCATATTATACTGGAACTTACGGCTTAAACTGGATTCCGAAAGACTACAAGTATCCATGGAATCACCGGGATCGGAACCCGAAAGCTGGAACCAAACTCCAGAGTGCTAGTCACACGACATCAGGTCCATTCCTGAAATAATAAATGATTTGAGAAGAATTCATTGTATGAAATTAATATGCAATGCATCTTTTGTTAAATAATGCATGTGTTGTTTTGCGCAGAATTCATGTGTTTCGCTTAAACCTAACTTTGCAATGTATATTTGATTCGCATAGCAGGAATTTGATTAACACAGATTTTTATAAGAATTCAAAGACGATGATATATGTGTGTAAGATGTATTTTACTTCTAGATACATTCCACAGTGAAATTACATTTCATTATAAAAAAACACTGCCAGTGCAATATTTCCTTCAACACAACATCCATTTCGTTGATGTCCATCTGAAACGTCGAAACGCCAAACTCGAAGAACTCGAAGGCAACCATAAGCCCGATTCCAAAACAGCTACTTTCTTATGAATTTAAAACACTTTTAAGATTTAGGAAGCAAACACGAGGCAATATTTCAAAACTTCTTAGAGATGCGTTCTCGGGCACCACCGAAAGAGAGTGAATACCAAAAAGTTTTGCTCTGAATACATAAAGCATCGATTTTCTTGGCAGTTGTAGTAAATGGTCTTCTATTTTCCAGCGCCAACAGAAGAAAAAAAAATAATAAATGTTGATAACGCTTTCTTGAACACTGCCTCCAGTTAACGCCGACATTCAGAACCACGTGAGATAAATGAGATGGGGCATAAAACAATTTACATAAGAAGAAACTGAATGCATAAGTAATGAAAACGAGATGAAAATCGCTTGAATATTCAATATTTCATTCGCTCGTAACCGCGAATCAGCAGTGGCATCATGGTCACTTTTATATCCTCTCATTTAGGTGACAACCACCATTTTTGGGGGTGCGGAGATGTGGGTGGGGGGTGATGCCATTTACATGATTATTCATGCATGCCTGCTATCATTATTTTGTGTGAGACAACTAAGAACTGATAAAGCACACTAAATTTCATTGAGATAGCATTCATACCAATCGGTGAACTTGCAATACAAAATTGATATGCTAAGTTTATGGAATTTGTTTGTTTTTTTATTTAGGTTTACTTATAGAATTATTTTAAGGTTTCTCTATCGTCAATTTATTGATGTATTTAAATTTCTGAAGATGAGTGTTTTTATTTAACGGGTCGAAACAAAAGAATTAAATTGAAGTTTTCACAATGCCGATGAAGTTGATTATGTTTGTCGATGAAGAAAATGGAATTA